CACATGGTCTTTCTCGATCTAGAAAAGGCCTTTGATAGAATCCCAAGAAAACTTATCTGGTGGGCGCTACGCCACAAAAAAGTTCCCGAAAAATATATAAGAATAATAGAGGATATGTATATGGGACATACAACAATGGTCCGTAGCACAACAGGTACTTCAGCAGGCTTTACAATAGCCGAAGGAGTTCATCAAGGGTCGGCTCTCAGCCCACTTCTCTTCATTACAGTAATAGATGTATTAGCACAGTCTATACCTCAAACAGTCCCGTGGAATATGATATTTGCAGATGATATTGTGATACTTGCCGAATCCAAGGATGAAATGAAAGAAAGGTTAGTGAATTGGATAAATATCCTAGAAACGCACGGATTAAAAGTAAATAGAGAAAAGACGGAGTATATGGTGATAGGAGGAGATGAAACGGAGAGTATTGATATAAATGATTGGCAGATATCCGCAATTGAAAGCTGCAAATATTTGGGCTCCACTATACAAACAAACGGCACAATAGAAAAAGAGATAAAGAATAAGATTAATCAAGGGTGGTTAAAGTGGAGATCTTTATCTGGAGTGCTATTTGACAAAAGAATCCCACACAAATTAAAGGGAAAAATTTACAGTTCCATAGTACAACCAACTATTCTATATAGTTCGGAAACATGGCCAACCAAAGAATCAGACGAGAGAAGTCTACAAACTATGGAGATGAGAATGCTGAGGATGATTGCTGGGGTAACAAGAAAGGATAAGGTGCGCAGTACAAGAATACTAAATAGTTTAAAGGTAGTGCCCATTAAGACTAAGTTAATGGTAAACAGACTTAGGTGGTATGGGCACACAATGAGAAGGCCTATGAACTACATAGGAAATAAAGTTGAAAGATTGGAAGTGATGGGCAAACGTAAAAGAGGAAGGCCAAAACTTCAATGGGGCCATAAAGTTAGAGCCAATATAAAGAAGTATAAAATAGATAAAAGAGATTGTACGAATAACATAAAGTGGAGAGAGATGTTGAAGGAGCTTACCACCAGAAAAGGTGAAAGCTAAAAGAGAAAAAAAAAAAAAAAAAAAAAAAACTAATAAAAATTTAACAACTCAAAAATTGATTTCCAATAATAATAATATTTCAATACATGAAAAAAAATCAATAATATTTTTAATAATAATAAAATAAACAAACATATGCCTAGAACAGTTCGGTTAGGCTATTTATAAAGATTCATAATGGCTTATTACGGTTAAATTTTTTTTTATTGAAGCAACACCATAGTCTAATTTATTTATTATAAGTAAAGTATTTTAGAATATTTGAAGTAATGATACGAGTTTTCTAAATATAAAAATAAAACCATAAAGTTTTCTAATATAAAGATTGTTTATTTTATTTTAAATTAATAATTTAATTTTTATACTATATATTTTAAAATTTTACATTTTTTTTTTAAACTAAAAAAAAATCTGCTTTATATAACAATTTTCATATTTAATATATCAAAATTTATATAAAAAAATCGATCTATCAATTTATAAAAAAATCAATTTATATCAACATAAAAAAAAACAATTTAAAGGTTAGTATTAATCGGTCATATTAACAATAAGCATCTATGAATTATATACAGAAAAATATATAAAATTATAAAATAACTCATTTTTTAAATATATTATTTGAAACGTATAAATAATATAATTTCTAAATATAAATGGATTCATATTTGTTTGTTGTGACGATAACACAAATTTTAGCCCCGAAAAGGCCCTTTCTACAGAAACTTATGTTGCAGGCACCGCCAGTACTATAAGAGCAAGTTTATATAATTTTGGATATTCAAATTTTTTTTTGATTCCTAAAATATAAAAAATTGAACCGGTTTAACGTTTTTTTATAAAGGTTCTTTGTACTCCTTCATAAAGTAATTATATCGGTTCGGTTACGGTTTTGATATTTAAAACGGTTTCTAATGATTTAACGGTTCTTTACGGTTCACTTCGGGTCGCTGATTTTAATAAATGTGGTTTTGAAAGTTAAAAATAATTTCTCCAACGTTGAATTCATTTCTTATTGTTGCATTTATTTAAATGATAAAAAAAATAATAATTTTTTGAAGTTTTCTAAATTTAATATGCAATTGTCCATAAGGTTTACTCGTAATAGGTAAACAAATTTAGGAGATTTTATTCATCAATTTAAATTACAATCATATAAGAATTTTTTTTAAATTTTATTTTATTTAAAAATTATTTTATTTTTACTAAAAATGTAATATATTTTCATGCTTTTATAGCTTGTAAAAATCAATTTATATAAACGAAAAATCAATTTAATAATTTAAATAACCGAAAATTAATTTAAATCAAGTTTGTATCAAGTTAATAACGAAAAAGTAATATATATATAAAATTATCAGGTAATCCACCTATACATCTGGGTTACAAGGTTTGTTGGTATCCTTTTAGGAAAAAAAATAATCGGTATATTTATATGTAGGGTGAGCCTCCATTTAATAACGTTCGCTCACTTTGGGCAGATCTGTGACCAACGTGGTAGGGTAGATAAGATCTAGATATAAATCTATAGGTCCAAATTTCTTATCCTTGAAAGAATAGCAATAAAAATAAATAAATACAGTAACATTGAAGTTGGCGCCCTCTCTCGGTTAATTCCTTGAAAGAATAGCAATAAAAATAAATAAATACAGTAACATTGAAGTTGGCGCCCTCTCTCGGTTAATATTATATTGTTTAATAAAAAAAATTAAAATTTTTTTCTAGTTTATTTTAATAAATGCGGTATTTGAAAGTTAAAAATAATTTCTCTAACGTTGAATTCATTCCTTATTGTGCATTTATTTAAATGATATAAAAAAAAAATAATTATCTCAGTGTATATACAAAATCGATAAATTATCTATAAATATCTGACAATAAATAAGAACTTAAAACTCTTTCTAAAAATAACTGTCATATTGTTATATAATAGAAATATTAATAAATTAAAGTATTGTTTAATTATATAATTTTTGTCATTTAAAGTTATCTTATCTATTACTTAAAATATATTAATTTGTTTAATCTTTACATTATAGACAATGGAAGAGATAAAAAAAATCCTGTAAACATTATTCTAACTTATTTTTGTAATTTTGATTTAACCCTCGCATTATTTTATAATTTTTTTTTCTTATTCAAATGTTTTACTTTAAAATTTCATATTAAAAAGATATCTTTTTATTTTGATTTCTAGATATAAATTATATATTTTTATTTTGTAAATATTCTATCCTCCTAAAATAAAATCAACAAAATTAACATACATTTATATATATGTCGTATGAGATTCAGAATCTCTTGATTTTAAATCCTTTACATAAGGCGATTTAAAAAATTTTAAAGTCCGATTTAACCGGGAATGTATTTTCGCATGTGTAGAGTAATTACCCTTTAAATTTCAGCCGTAAACATTTTGGTATTTTTTTTAATTTATATGAAAAATCCGTATAAAAATTAAATATAAATTAGAAGTAGTTCTAAAATTCATTCTTCAGGTTTATCAAAACCCTCCTCTTAGGACTAGTGTTGCTAAACGGATCGTTTTGAGCCGATTTTTAAAAACGGCTAACTCAATATTTTAGCCAGATAAATATTGTCTAAGTCTCTAGATTTCGCTAAGAGAAGTCCAGACCTTTGCGCCATCTATGAGCAAAATCTTCAGGCTTGAGTAAAATTTTTATGGATAAAATATTGAGTTAGCCGTTTATCGCTCAAATCTTAAATCTATTTCGTACCACCACACATCTATAAGCTCATCTTCACTGAAATCTTATTTTACATTTATGGAATACATAAAATTTGAATTGGTTAAAAATAACCATTATTACAATTACAATTTTACTATGGAACAAATCTTAGTTTAACAAGTTTATAACTAAAACAAAGCAAAGACATAAATTCAAAACACCTTTTATTCATTTTTTATTAAGAATATAATATTTTATATATATATATATATATAATAATAATATTATATAAATCTTTAAAAATATTATTTTATTTAAAAAAAAAAAATTAAAACGGGATTAATATTTGTTGGCAAAAGATGAGTGGGAATCGAGAATTGAAAAAAATAAAATAATTAAAAACTTTAAATATTATATAAATGGTAACCAATATGGAAATACACATAATAATATATTTTATAAAAATATGATGTGAATTTGTTACATGTTAAAAAAAAAATCATTAAAAAAAGGAGGGGGAAAAAAGGCAATATACAAATATTGAATCATTGCGAATCACCTATTTAAAACATTATCTGAAGGCACAATTATTCAAATGACAGATCGAGAGAGATTAAATAGAGTAACAAATTATGTAGAAAAAAAAAGAAATTTAAAAATATGCATTATCTTAACATTATTTCTTAAAATCCATTTTAAAAAAAACAAGAATAATATATTTGTTATTTGAAGTATTAAAAAAATATCTATTCGATTATTTGACTTTTATTTTTTATATAAAGATATATTAAAAATTATATATTATATATATAATTGTGGGAAACTTTTGATTTAAATTTATATAAAGCACGCACTTAAAAATGATACGATGCCATAGCCTATAAAGTTTGCAAATGATGATTTTTTGTTTAAAAAAAGAAGAAGCAGATACTATAGCTCCATTTGTTCCCATTAAAGATATATGTTATATATATATATATTGCGACTTAAAATAAAATAAAATGTCTTCCAGTATTCTTTTCTTTTATAAAATAAATATTCGGTAGTATGGAGGCCTTATCGGTGAAAAAAAATATGTACGTAATAAAAAAGAAGGCAACTGGGGGGTGGGGGAATGGGAAAATCCAATGTGATTTAAAAAAAAAATGTTTATAATATTTAGTTAAAATAAGAGCTGGTAGATGCTAAAAGAACTCATTAGATCTTAGATAATACAAAAAAGGAAAATTTAAATGGATATTCACCGTTTAGATAGATAGATTATATTTATTTTTAATTTTTAGAAAACTGGAAAAAAAAGGAATAAAGACATTATAAAAAGTTCGTTTAGCATTATATTTTTTTTTCTCCCAGAGACTATCTCAAAATTGTCTATACCGGGCCGCGTTGGACCGGTAATACTTGGTACCAAAGTAAATGAGGGTAGATATGCCGGCCATGAGGCACATGCCCCCTATGAACGAGGAAAGGCTAAATTTGTTCTTACTGTTATGAGACGGAATAGCAGTGGGAGCCGTGATTGGGGTGATGGTGACATTATGGGATGGTGTTGCGGTGGGATTAGATGATGTGGTAGGGATTGTTGAGTTAGTAACGTTAGTAGGTTTGAGGGTAGTCACCGTGGGAACAGTTGTAGCATTGGTGTGGGAAGGAGTGGTGGTCGTGTTGGGGTTGACGGTAGTGTTTGTGACTGGCGTAGTTTCTGTTATTAAATATTAGAATTGTATAATATCAGAATACCTTTTAATTTTCCAATGTGTAGTAATTAATCGATTGTTGCGCTTAGCGAAACCTTTAAATTACTCACTTGAAGTGATGGAGAATTATAACCCCCCCCCTCCCCGAATTGGAATGCTATTCAAAATTTCTTATAGATTTATGAGCACCTTATCTTACAAATCAAAATATTTAGGTGCGAGAAAATTTAGGAGCCTGTCATTGTATTTAGGGCGATTTAATCATCACCGACCTCAAAGACTAATATATATTAAAAATTTCAATGGTAAATCCTAAAAAAATAAATAAATACATTTGATTACGTATCCCTTTAAATATTGTTCTTGGGGTTGAATCCCCCCCCCTACTGGTAATAATTAGGTTTAACAACTAGAGATGGATGTGATATAACAAAATGAGACATTTTAGTGAGTATATATATCAGTGGCGTATCCAGGATTTTCTTATGGGGGGGGGGGAATTTTTTTTGGGGACTTCGCCCTCAAACTCTCTTAGCTGGCTTTCGGCCAGCTTTTCCCGGGTCTTATGTTTTAGCTTTTCTATAAAATTATTCATAATTTAATAATAATTATATATCTATTTTTAACTTTTATTTACTAATTTGTGCATATCGATATTACAAAGCCTATTTTTTTATTATTTTAAGTTAGGTATGTTATATTTAATAAAGTTTTTTTAAATGTAAAGTTGAAATAAAGTTTAATGTCATTTTATTTTAAAATTTGCTTTAAAAACTAGCCTCAGCTTCAATTCTCATACAATATAAGTAGAATAAAAAATTTTTATTGTGCACAGTGTATAAAATATTGACTAGAAAATAATTTAAAAAGCAAGTTTTTATAACTTCTATCAAAAAGTTTATTAAACACTATAACTATAATGTAATTTTTAATTTTCGTGGATGTTGCCAATTCATCTAGAATTTCGTTCGTCGTTAGAACTAAATCTCTATGAATATTTAACATAGCCAATCCATTTAGCCGATATTCTGAAGTAGTACTTCGTAAAAATGTCTTCAGCCTCTCAAGTTTGAAATTGTCCTTTCATTCGTGCATATTGTAATGGGCAAACATGCAAGAATATAAAATAACTTCAAAATATCGAGAAGCCAACATGCTCAAGACATATTTAAATTTTGTATATCTTCTGTTCTAAAGAAAAATTAGATATTTATTAATAATTAAAATATTATTAAAAATAAATTTTAACTCACTAACTAATAATTTTGAATTTCACAAAATAAATATATTTAATAATAAATTATATACCGCTTGATTTCAATATCTTTGTCTTTGACTAAAAATTTCTCCATTTTTTATTAATATTTTTGAATGGAAATTTAAAAAAAAATTATTTATAAAAAATAAGTTTTATGTTGGAAAATTGATATTCAAATATTTGTAAAATTTTGTTTGGTGGGGGGGGGGGGGTGGGAGGGTGGAGTAAAATTTTATGCAATATTTAATATTTTACAGGATTGTTTCCGAATTTAAAATATTTATGAAAACAGTCAAATTTGCGATGGGGGGGGGATTTCCCCCTTTCACCCCCATTGGTTACGCGCCTGATATATATATAATAACGAAATAATATGTTCCTTAAAAACTCACGTAACAATAGAGGGATAATCCTGCCAAAATTAGATTTAAAAATTATGAAGAATAATATTTCCCATTTTAACAGATACTCAAAAGATGGAGAATACAAAACTCAAATAATTTTTTTTTAAAATATCGAATTTAAAGAGACGTTCCATCCACTCCTTGGGGACCCAAGTAGGAATTGAGCTTCAAGGCCAGTCACCACCTCGAAAGAAGGCTACGATAGTTTGTCTCGCTAACGTTAAATGATTATTTCAAAGAAGTGGGTTAGTTTTAATGGGATAGAAATGAAACAAAAACAGCTAGAAAGGATGGATGATATCAAGGCCGATTCTACAAACACTCAGCAGTCATAGAGTGTCTATTTACAACTACAATAATCGAAAGATAAAGCTAAATGTTGACTAAAGGAGACTAAATAAAAAAAAGTGCGCAATTGCAAAAAAAAAATGATATTTAGAATATATATATATAATTCATATCACGGATTTAAACTTGTCGTCATCGTCGGGCTGTCCGTGACATTAGCCTCAGGTATTATGGTAGTATTGACGGGCATCACGGTTTCTGACGTAGTATCGGCTAATATTATTTCATTCGCGATATTAAACAAAAAATGAAACCTAAATTTAATTGTTTTTTTTAAAAACTTATTAATATGGTTTCGGATCGAGATCCAAAATATTTCGATTAACCAACCCAAAAAAACAGCCATTTTGAGCCAAAAAAACCTGATCCTAAATATTATTTCCCTTTTTAATTTCGTGTTTATATATGAAAACTGATAAACGTCACAACTCAAAATGAAGATGCCAATTACACCTCAATGATTTTTCGCACCGCTATGTTGTGCACTATACATCAAGGAGGCCTTAGTTTAAAAAAAAATGAAGATGATATTTGTATACACATTAGTTATTAGTTCTTTCTTATACACATTCATACTAAATTAAATATACAAAAAAAAAGTAATTTTATTTTTGTTTTTGATCAAAAGATACCAGGTTTAGTCGTCTTGGTGACTTTGGGCTTGACGATTTCGGGACCTAGATTTCGATAAAGATATTAAAAAAGCATTTAAAAAATATAAATACTATTATGTACAATTGAAAAGAAAGAAAATTCTATTCAGAAAAAGAGGAAGAGACAGAGAGAATCAAAAGTAGTGCTGGTAAAGTTGATTAATCTAATACCCAATCTAAGATACATTAACTAACAAATATCGACGCCATTTTTAAATCTAAAAATCCTAAAATGAACATTTTTTTTAATAATAACTTCGTATAGCGTTAAAAGTAGCACGTTACATTGAAAAGTAACTTAAACAGTGGGTATTTCCCTCCTACCCCTTAATGATGTCAGATTTTTTTACAAAAAAATATCATAAAATAATAGGATATTCGATTTCTACACAATAATTTTTACATTTCGCCGTGTCATTTATGATCAAAGTTTCTTCGATGTGATCAGGGCATGGGACTTCTTGATCTTCCGCATGGCAAACTTTTCCAAAAAAGATTTATATTTTTTTTTAAAAGTATATATTATATTATCATAAAGTCTATTGATTGAATAATCCTAGCCTCGTTATTGGCTAAAAAAAATTTCGTAATTGCGTTCGGTTCAAAAACGAACGATGATTCGTTCGTATTCGATTCCCTTCAAACGAATCGGATAGGGTAATTTACTATTGGTAGATAATACGTTCAATCAGACGTGAATGGAGAATTTTCTATTTATTTGTACGAATACGAATTTGTTTAGAGAAGGGGGGGGGGGTGGATCAAAATTGCGGAAATACCGCTTTGACACGGGCAGTGTTAGATGCCAAATAAACTATAATTGTAGCGTGTATTCTTAGAGGTTGACAAATAACGTTCACCAAATTTGCGCGTAAACTTATATTGCCATTCATTCATTAATTATATTTTAAACGTGCTATTTATAGAAGTGAATTAAATTTAACTCCTTAAACCAGCTTAGAAAATTTGTAAATCACGTGATACATAGCGCTTTAGCCCTCTGACGTCGAAGGTTCAACAGAGCTACGCTAGGGTTTTTCTCAATTTCCATCTGATTGGAACAAATTTAATTTGGGAGAAAAGTACAAATACGATTGATAGAAGTACATTTCCGTTAAATCGGATTTTGTAAATTTAAAAAACAAACGCGTACATCACCAGAAGCCTCATTATTTAGTCAAATTAGGGGAGAAAAGTTTGATCATATTTTGGGGCAAGGCACATTATAGAGGCTCGGGTTTAGAACTGGAGGTTATAAAGGCGTTTTTTTATTGGTCGAAATATCGGCCACCAGTATTGGTCAAAATATCGACTTCCGGTATTAGTCAAAACTGGAGGTAGCCGATAACGATAATCGATATCGTGAATGACCGCGTGTATTCGGATTAATCATTTTATTATCTCGTATTCGTTATTAGTTTTTTTCATCTCTTTAAAATATTAAAATCGAGTTAAATGCAGTTAATATCGTATTTTTCAAATCGAATGCGGTTAGTAGCGGTTTTTACATTTTTTTTAAAACAAGCTTCAGTTCCGGTTTCAAAAAAAAATGAGAAAATCGAATCTTTAAAAATTATATATTCCGCGCCGGACCCAATAAACTCTTCAAGTTTTTTTTGCAATAAGTATGCTTTAAATAAAATGTGGTCGATACCATTCACCGATACTTTTTACTGTCGATACAAAATTATCTAACCATCTTTAAAAAAAAGTGTATAGTAGAATAACTTTTCAAAATTCAATATTTCGAGCTAAATTCTTTTTTTATACGTCAATATTTGGCGACTGAGATGGAAAACCGCTCCATTTGAGGCGAATTTTTTAAAACGGCTTAATTCAGAACATTATCTAGAATAATATAACGCGAATCGCGAAGATTTTTCTCATAGATTAGCACAAAGATTCGGACATCTATTAGCCAAATCTCGAGGTTTAAACGATTTTTTTCCTTGGCTAAAGTATTGAGTTAGCCGTTTTTTAAAAAACCGGCGGAGCGATTTTGCGTCACTATTCGGCAGTATCGGTATTCGGACTGACGTATTCCACGCTTTATAAAATATGAAATATAAAAAAAGTTACTCACTAGTGAACATCTGATTGCTGGCCTTGGCCTCGTAGCAAACCTTGAAGTGGCAATTGGAATAACTCTGGTACCCCAGTTTCTCGATCTCGTCAACCCTGGGGTTTTCCATGTGATCCCTTAGACATGATTGGCAATCCTGCCATTGGGCACAAAAGTTGGGCATAGTAGTGGTGGGCGAAAGGGTTGAACTTGGGGGTGAAGACGACACGAGTGACGAGGTTAGGAGTAGGAGCCATGAATAAGCGAGAAATTCTGGAGAAAAAAAATAACAAATGTCAGGCAAGTTATTATTAAAATTCTCAATTTGAAACCGGAAATAAAATAGAACCCTGGTTTCCGTTCTTGAAAGAAGGAGTATAATATTCAAGAGATTTTTAAACAATATGTATACGTCGCTTAAGTATTAGAATGTTCTAATTCCATCCGCTACTACATCCACAAATTATATTAACGAGGAGGAAAATTGATTTGTAAATTGGGTCGTCAAATACTTTTTTTAAGGCCTTTTTGTATTTATTCGGTTTTTATAGTGCGCAAAAATTGAGCGTTTACGTTTTGCCGTAATTCTTAAATTTAAAAAAAAACGTAACACGTCCTTTGTTACAATTTGAGGTTGTCTTTCGAAAATTATATTATCGTCTGCCTTCTTATTTCTTTAAATTTCTAAATATTCCTTTTTTTTAAGGATATATCAGTAAGTTATTTATATTACATATTTTAATTATATAATATTTACAAAAGCTAAGAATAAAACTAAAAAATTATTTAAAAAGCAAGCATATTAGAAGTTTTTGTTTTAAATGGTGGCTGACGCCAAACGGTAAATTGCACGAGGCCATTTGAAATACATTATTTGCGCTACGCAACATTTGACACGCTCAATTCGTTCGCACCCTTATGCGAGTTAATACATTTCGATTTAATTATTTTATAGGCCTCACGTACCGTAAAATTAATATATATATATATATGTATGTAACTAAATTCATAGAAAATATTTAATATTGTAAAGATTTTTTTTTGCTTCTATCCAAGTTCTCAACGATAATTAAAAGGAATAATCATTTATCCGTATCGCACCTGTGATTGCCTATTTAAGATGCGATAAATTCTCCTCTAATTTGATAGAACACTCTAATTCACAACCAACCATCGTTGTTCTGGAACCGGTTACCGAGTATTTGCCCCGGTTTCCACGGGGTTGTCAATCATTATAACTGCCCACCACCCCCATCCTCCTATAGCCCGGCTCGTTAAATAATTTTTTACATGTAAAAAATTCGGATGCCACGTGGTGCGGTCTAGCCCGAGAAAAAGTATCGGTCGATACTTTTCAAACGTTCGTTCCGCCAACCCCCCCCCCCTTTATTTTTTGATATAATCGTCTTCCCCCTACAGCTGCTGCCTTTCAATTTCGATGGCGAATCTCGAGTCATGCCCAAAGCCCCAGCTGGGTACAAGTGGGCGGTGCTATGCAAATTCAATTATTTTTTGGCCTAGGAGCGAATATTTTTTAAGACTTGTTGCATGTAAGGCAAATTCTAATTTCTCATTCTATTTTTGATAAAACAAATTGCAAAACATCATTTTTTTTCCTTAATTTTTCTTTAGCCGTTTATTAAAAAATAGAATTTTCAAAGATTTTTGATCTTGTTTTGTGGATTTTATGCACGAAAGATAAAAAATCTTTAATGATTTTTTTAAAAAAAAATCTCTCCAATTTTTATGGATTTTCAAAGATTTTGGGCGAAACAAGATATTACTTTGGTTTTTAATTTTTCAAGCTCGAGTCTGACTTAAAATTTTCTTTTAGAACTAATCCCGGATTAGGACCAACTGACAGCTGAATAAATAGAAAATTCAATAACATTCGAAAATGTAGGATATAAAGAGATTTTTTTTTAAAAAACCCAGCTGTTTTTAAATCATCATTCTCTATACCCTGTTAGGGTAAGGTCCATTTTTTTTAGCGAACGTAGTTAAAAACGGACTAAAAACAAGTTCATAGCCGATGTCACTCAACTTTGAAGAAAACATAAAATAAACTCGATTTCGATGTGTCCGTTTTCGACTATTGATCTTGATTATTTTGTAAAAAAAATCTTATTCCTTTACGGCTCAATATTTTCGTACGAGTTTTTCTGATCATGCGTACAAAATATTTTGCCCGGTGGCCAATCAGATAATAGAAAATATTTTTGAAAACGTTTCCGGCATCCTCGAGGCATTGGGCCAAACGGAGATCAGCTAAGCTTCAAGAGCGCCAAAACGATTTTATTTTCCTCTTCAGCCTCAAACCTTGCGCGAATAAAATAAATAATATTTATCAACATCATCTCCGAGTATACACAAGCGTGGAACGGAGGAAATAGTGTATCATATTCATCATTCATTCATTGATAAATCATAAAAAATAATAATTTTAAAAAAAAATTCATAAAATAAATTATGAGAAGGAAGTGAAAAATTAAATGCGATAATTTGTCTAATTGCAAATTTTAATATTTATCAAAGCAAAGCCTACAAAGATGGCCACAACCCTTTTTATCTTGACCACTTTCGATTTGGCCAGGTAAAACTGTTATTTTAAAAATAATGGTTCTTAAAGGGTTGACCCAAACCAACAAACACCCAACTGCCCTAAAGTGTCTGGTCATCTTACGGAGGTCTCGCTCAATATAAACATTACGGTTTTCGATTATTAAATTAGCCTTGAAAAAGTGTTGTACAAATATTTAATATAAAATATAATAAATTTAAATATCAAGATATTGTTAATACGTGATTCTACAAAAAATAAAATGTTTTAAGTTTTAGGTGTAATGTTATCACCAAATATAGATACTAAGGATAAGTATCGACTGACAATGGTTAAAGTAACAAGTTATATTTTTTGCAAAATAAAAAAAAATAAATGTCATAAATTTTAACGACTTTAATAATGTTTTTGTAAAAAAATTTTTAATATATTTTGAAAGAATTAAAATTATCGAATTTTTTTAAAAATGTACAATATTAAAAAAACAAAATGGCGCTTACAAGGAATATTTAAACAAAAATTGATTTCATTAAATTTTACAAATTCGCGAAAGTTTTGAAACTTTTGGATTTTTTTTTAAAAATGATTTAGGACACGGCCTAAAGAAAACTTAAAACCGATTAAAAAAAAAATACAATCAACAATTCGAAATCGCCCAAATATTATTTTTTATATCCAGTTCCGGTGTACCGTGTCAGCAATGTCAGAACAGCGAAATATGAATAAGTGCATATTTAATGTACCACCTCCCCCCCCCCACTTGAAATGATAAGATAGAATTCATCTTATTTGCGTAGCAACAATAAAGTTGCCACGTCATTACATTCCGATTTTAGAAAAATGGCTAACTCGATATTTAATCCAGAATATTACGTAAGGCCGAAGATTTTGATCATAAATGGCGCAAAGGCTCGAACCATCTGTCAACGAAATCTCGAGTCTTAAAGAGTGGGAAAGGATCAAAAGGCAACTGGCATACCCGAGAAACCGAAAGCAAATATAAAATTATCCTATGCATAAAAAAAAATGAAGGGATGTAACTTAATTATTCATTCATACATTTAAAAAGTATAAAATGATTATAACATGTTATTTTATAAAAATATTAAAATGGAAACTTTAAAAAATATTGATTCAACTTTTGATCAGCCTATACAAAAATGGCTACCACTTGAATAAATAAATGACGTCATTATTCTTTTCTTTTCTTATTTAAAAAAAAACAAAATTATACATCGATTTTCAAAATATGTATATGTACATATTTATTTACATAAGGTAGAATTTGGATTTGAAAAATAAAAAGTGAATCCACCTGGAAAACGTGTTCATGTAAATTATTTATTAAACTCGCGGTATTAAAGTGCAAGAGGGCAATAAGACAGAAAAGAAAGTATTTAAAAAGTCGAATATTTAGGGTGGGTCAGAGCTTTGGCTCGAAAATTTTATTACGTTTTTAAACCAATCACTGATAGGAATCTGAGGGTTCAACTCAGCATTTTATCCAGAAAAAATATTAGGCAAGCCCGAAGATTTTGTTCAAAGATGCCAACAAAAGGTTTAATCATCTTATTAGCAAAATTTTTGAGGTTTAGGCAATATTTTCCTGGCGAAAATACCGAGTTGGCCGCTTTTATAAAATCGGTGCAAATCGAGGCACTTAACGCTAACCGCAAATGAGCCCGAAATTTGGGCTTAGGTCTCATTTTTATACATACACCCAAGTCAGGCTTTAAAAAACAGATTATAATTTTAATTTGCTTTCATTTCAAAATAACAGTTAAAATGTCTCGCGAATTAAGACAAAACTCAATATAAAAAAATTTTTTTTTTTTCTTTATTCAATTTTAAAACTTTATACAACAACAGCAAAAAATGTGTTAGCATTTCACACTTTCCCATTAAAAATTTTTTTTGGATAAAATCAAATTGAAAAGTTTAGGCTAAACTGAACTCAAAATATTGATGCATTTCAGTTCAGACCAGGCAAAGGATAAAAATTAGTGTAATTTGTGAAATTCTAGAATGAACCTAAAATATCTGCAACATCTGTGCAACGTACACTATAACATTTTACAAACAGATTAAAATAAGGTAGCCTTTTTTTTGTGGAAATTGAAAGCGATTTCTTAAAATGCGATATTCGTAAAGGTTTATGGACAAGTTCAGAAATCCCATCTTATATATGCAATTTATTAAGAAATATTGAAATATTAAGATAAGAAATATCCATATTTTTAAAATTAAAATCAGTTTATTATATTAAATTTATTTCTATATTATATATTCAATTTTAAATATATGATAAATAAAAAAGACTTGAATCAATTCCTATTTGAGCTAACTAATTTTAAAGATTTAAATGTTTTTTTTTCTTAAAGCTCATTTCAACAAATATTTTTATTATGTTTATAATATTGACATTCTAATAAAAAATAAAACTGTTTAATACATCTATTTCATCCTGTTTTTCTTTATTAGCTTAACTCGATTATATGTTTGGACCAGATATTGGTATGCTTATTCAAATTATAATAAAATCCTGAAAGATTTTTGATTCTATGAAGATTTATTAACAGCCATTTTTTTGTAAAAATCTTTCATAATGAAATCATAATTTTAATTGGATCTTCTTTATAAAAAAAAATCTTCAATTTTGCTATCTTATGAATTTTGGGTAAATCTTTTCTTTCAAGCTCTAATTGGATAGTCTTAGATTTAATATTATTAGATTACAAAACTTCAACATCAATGTTGAGAGTGGAATTAAGTCATAAACTTAGAAATCAAAAAAAATCAGTTGGTATATTTACCACTTTTTGGCTGCCTCAATAAAACTATCCACTTTCTTCTGTTTGGTTACATATTATATATATATTTTTGATGTTTCCTGAAATATATGATTAGGGTTATTAAATATTTTAGCCAAAAAATACCAAGCAAGCCTGGAGATTTTTCTCATAGATGGTAGAAAAAGCTTGGACATATACTAACAAAATCTTGATGTGTGTGTAATATTATTTTGGCAAATACTTAATTTTAAATATAAGAAATCGCATCATTTAAAAAAACTTATAGTAAGTCCTAATAATCCATGATTGTATTTTTTTTGAATGATGTTAATATTAATAAAGAAAAATTATATATAACATAACATAAAATTATAACTTTAATTTTTCAAAGGGGTCTAAAAATTAATATTAAAATTTTAGTAAACTTCTAACAAAAAAATTATAAAATAAATAATGCATAAACATATTTATAGGTATTGTACACAATTTTTATTGATATAATCACTGGTTGTAAAATAATATTTGGATAAAAAATTACAAATTGGATTATTTTCTTTTATCTTATTTAAAAAAAAACACCCCAATTTGCAAATTAATCACTATTTTCTTTTGTGAGTTATTAATTTTGCCGTACTTTCTGGCAGCAATAAAGCTCATAACCAATAAAGTTACACGATTCGATTTAGTTTGTACAAAATAATATAAGTTCAAATCAGCTTTTAAGACCTGCTTTATACCTTTTTGCCAGATGTATAAGAAACTCAGATTTTTATTTTATAGCTAAGTTTCAAAAAAATAACTAGCAATATTATTATTAAGCATATAGAATATTCCTTATTTACAAATTATAACAAATATCCTGTCTGCCATTGTTTTCAAGTGGTTACGAGGGCATAAAATACCTAAACAACATTTTGTTCTCTTTTATTATGAGCATCATATAAGAACATAATAATAAAATCAATATCCCTACTTGTGCCATTCTTTAAAATTCTCATTTAAAATGAACATTTATTTAAAAAAAATTTAAATTAATTAAAAATTATTCATTAAAAGTCAGCACAATATCTAAAATTATTTTTAAAAATTGAATATAAATTTATTTGCTTAAAATAGTTCTGTGCATTAATGGGTATAAAAGTGAATTATAAAATAATATACATTTTTTAAATATAAATATCTTATTTTTTTTATGTTTGAATTGAATGAAAACATATTATATATTTTAATATTTAGGGTTCCAATAACTACTAATTAATTAATCTTTTAAAGAGTTGATATCAAAAAGTTCAAGCCTATTTTGATGTTCAGTTGATTTCATGTCAATTCATAAAATAATAGTTAGATTTAGTTTGGATCGTTACTATAAATTACAAATTAGATGTGCCAAAATAGCCCATTAATAGCAACTTACAAAATATATAGCACACATCAACCTAAATTTACAAGGTAGATGTTTGGGGCATTATATAAAATTACATTTATATTGATAATTATAAATAACCCTTTTAAGAAAATATTTAATAATAGACTTTACCTAATAATAAATAAGGCATATGGTTAAAGTTTAATAATGATTTCTTCATTTGCGAGGTTGAGAATTTAAATTGCAAGCTGCAAATCGTAACTTCAAAATAAAAACTTAGAATATAACAAATTAGATGGAATAATTTGCTACTCAAATTAACAATTTAAAAAATTTAATTAAAATTTCCTACATTAATTCAGAATTATTAATTATAGGAACATTTTAGTAAAATTTTAGAAATAGATTCACTTTATTCTTAATTATGCCATGATAATTAATATTAAAGTCATGTAATATTTTGGAAAGAGATTCATTTTAATACATAAAAAAATTAATTCCATTTAATATAAAAACATTCAAATTTGCATAATATGCTATTCATTGTTATTAAAATAATTATATTTTGTGGAAAGCCTTTACGAAAAATAGGTGCCATTGTGCTACAGAATATGACAGCACATTCACTAGTCTTTTCTAGCAAATTGACTAATTCCTAAAAAGAGTCCACTAATAAATATATCGGAATTTTCTTATAATTTTATCAGGGTATCAAAAGTGTAGAAGAATTATATCATAATATTAAAATCATTTATTAATAAAATACATCATAAAAATATCAATATCAAAAATCCTCCTTTTTAAAAAATGTTTGCTATATATCTATTTTTTTAATCAATAAAATAGATAATAATCAATCATTAAGATACACAAAACGAAAAAAAATATTCCTTGTTTAAAATTAAATTTAACTTAAGTGATAAAGTAATAAATGTAAATTGTAATGATTTAATAAAATGATAATATAAACTGTTTTTTAAGTTAAGAAACAAAATCTTTTTTTTTTATTATTGCCGTTAGGTATAAAATAAATATCTTTGAAATAAAACGAAAGCTTAAAATCATTATATCAAACACTAATAAATTAAACCTCAGGAAAAAAAATAATAATAAAGATATTTTCTTAAAAATTTAAATATAAATAAATCTGCAAAATGCCACAATTAATATCTATAGAGGTATTGCCCCCTCCCCTCAACTAATAAAGACACTATTACATCTTTCAGTATTATCATCTACACTATCCAAGATTTTACCCACTATTCTCTTTAATTTTACCCACCATCCCCATTTTAATCTATATCCCCTTCTAAGTCCTAACAAGTCAAATTAAAAAAAACATAATTATTTACCATCAATTTTATTCTCAAAATAATATCTATCCTAACTCTTCACATGGCAATTAGAATCTTACTATCCAGCCAGCCCCCCCCCCCACCAGAGTGGAAGTTTCTGAACAAGACATCCTAATTAAATCTCGGGGCCATCCCATATCAATAATTCCAATAAACTTAACAACTGGATTACTGGAATGAGAAAAATTAGATGGTAAATTTCATTTTTTATCAGGAAACAATTTTCAAAGTCTTAAAAGCAAATTTTTATATATATATTAAGTATAAGATACGAGTAATCAGGATGGACATAGAAGAAGATATTAGAATATATTTGGGGATTAAATATCAACTAAGAAATTAAATTGCACACTTAATGATATTAATTATAACAAGAGATTTATTATAATGTATAAAACAATCATCATAAATTAGTTATTATTGTCAACGAATCAACTTCTTATTTTATATTTTCCTTTGTTAAAAATATATTTTAGTTTTTTCCTTTACCTATCATTTATTCAAAAAAAATATTTATAGGTTTTTTTTTTATATTTTTCTTTTTTCTTTCAGTATGTGCACATATAAATATTTATTATAAGTTTTCTTAAAAAGATATTCAAAACTGCTTTTTATTTTTTTTGAACATATAATTTAAAACTGTTAAAAATTTTTATTTTATATTTAAAACTATAATAAGCATGATGTAAACAATTGGAGAATAGATTGAAATAACCGGCATATATATAAAAATATAAATAAATAATTTACTATCACTTTATTTCATGATCCAACATAATTCTAAAATAATAAGACATAAAAATTAAAAAGCAAAAGGTTTAAAGCTAAATTGAAAAAGAATTCTTTCCAAAAACTGGAAAGTGGTATAATATTTACAAATTCTCAATTATATATATTTTCTTTAATAATAATTTACTTACATAGATAAAAAAAAAAGATTCTTTTGTTCATTAAGTTACAAAATATATTATTATAATAGCCTCTCTTTGTCACCATTTATAATAATTAATATTAAATAATATCCTATGAATAAGACATTTTTCGTTTTCATCCAAACAATTACAACAAAAAACAATCATTGTAAGTTTTTTACATTTCATTTTACTTTTATGAAGTCATTCAAAATTAAACTTTTTAATATATTTTATTTTACCTTCATAAACAGTTCAGTTATTCCTGATATCCTAATTATAATTCTGGTTATACATTTATTTCGAATTTTGTAATAATTTGTATTTTATTATTTAGATGTAGTAAATAGTTACTTATTATATATTTATAAAAAATAATGGAACAATTTTAAAAATAATAAAACGTTGTAATTTAATCTATGGTAGTTTTTCTAAATATCTATATTAGTCGTTTTATTAATAATATGTTGATTGTTGATATGACCGATTAATACTAACCATTAAATTGTTTTATTAGAAAACTTTATAATGTATATAAACAATTATATCTACTCACTGTTGTAAGTTGTAACAACCTAAGTTTTTGGGGATTTATATGATCTACTAAATACTCAGCTTATAGAATCCTAAGAAAAGTTAAATGATAAACATGCTTGAAAATTAATAAACAAGCTTAATTTTCGTCTTGAATTTTTATAAATAAAATCTTTCAATTTTTCTACAATATTTTTGTCCACGTGATAATGTTAAATACTTTAAAATTAGATATTTCCTCCTATATTTATTTAAACATTCATTCTAATCTTACTCCTTTTTTTTGTTTATTCATTGGCACACGTCAAAAACGAGTTATAAATTTAAGTTTTTAGGCTATGGTATCTTGAAAAGTCGTCCATTTTTGACTACATTTAATTATTAGTTTTCAGAGTTGTTAAAGATCTAGATATAAAAATGCGGTATTTGTATTTGTATCTAGATAAATTTTTGATTAAAATATCTGTATCTAGATATTATTTTAGACGATATATCTATATCTAGATCCATTTAAAAAGTATCTTTTAACAACTCTGCTCTTTTCAGTTACCATTGCCTCTGCTCTTTCCCCTCCATTTCCATAGATAGCCGAAATTGGCGCAAATTTCGTAATAATTATTTAATAGTATTTCCACCATTTTTTTAAATATATATTTTTAGTGTATTAAATTTATTAACTTGAAATTTAGTATTAATTTTATTTTTTATTAGTTTTTTGTAGTAATAAACATATCAATGTGTTTCTTCCCACAATGTGTTATTTTTTTTTTTAACTTTAAATAAATTTATTTAAAAATTTGATTTTACCGAAAATGTTTTCCAGCATGTTTAGCTCATGAATTATAACATTAATATTATAATATTGCGGCGAGGTATTGAAAATAAATTTTAATATTATATCTAGTGATATGCATCGGGCCTAATTTTTCAAGCCCGGCCTGGCCCAAATTTTTCAAGCCCTGCCCGGCCCAAATTTTTTTTAAAGTTTTGCCTTGCCCGGGCCGATTTCTATGGCCCGACCCGATCCGGCCCGGTTTCTATGGCCCGACCCGATCCGGCCCGGTTTCTATGGCCCGACCCGATCTGGCCCGGTTTCTATGGCCCGACCCGATCTGGCCCGACCCGATCTGGCCCGACCCGATCTGGCCCGGTTTCTATGGCCCGACCCGATCCGGCCCAATTTCTATGGCCCGACCCGATCCGGCCCGATTATCTTAAAAAATATTCGGGCCGGGTTTGGGCCGGGTACGGGTCGGGCCTACTTTTGCAGATCTCTAATTATATCATTAATCTTATTATACATTTGATGGCCGCTATAGGTAATAAGAATTTACACCTCTCAGGACATAAGTATAAGAATTAAAAATTCTAATATGCTAATTTTATAAAAGAAATTGATGATAATCCCTCAAATGCACTTTACTCCTTCTGTTTAAAAAAAAATAGTAGTGACCAAACTCTGGCCACGAAAAGCTTAGAAAGTGGTGCCAAATGTCAACATTTTTTAATAATAATAAATGATTATTTAAAAGAATTGTTGCCCCGTTATTCTGGAAACAGTTAAGACAGCAAAATTTCTACCTTAGATTGATGGCTCCTAGTTGCCCCGGAAATTTAGAGAAACTTGATTCATATATTTTTTCCCCCCTTTCCTATAAAATATCGTATAATAATATCATTCGCAATTCTTTTATAATTTCTAAATTTTATATTATACAAAAAAATATTATCGATATTTTTGGTTAAATTTTGATGTAATTCTATTCCAGAAAAGTAATTTTTATTATTTTATTATTATTATAGATTTTGACTTAGTGTGATTAAATGTCTTTTTTTATAAAATTTTTTTTTTTAAGACTCTAATAATCGGGCATGACTAAATACTGCATTGCTAAAAAAAAAGAGCAATTAAACTGCATTCATAGTAGTGTTGTTAAACGGCTCAATTTTAAGCCGGTTATTAAAAACGGCCAACTCAAAATTTTATCCAGAAAAATATTATCCGAGCCCTGAAGATTTTGCTCAAAGATGGCACGCACATAGGATTGAACCTCTAATGGCGAAATCTCGTCGGCTCAAACCGGGCCGTTTGACAACACTAATTCATAGTGAAGACGGATCCGTTTTTTTACATCCGTTTCGTCAAAAGTATTCAAAAACGGATACGGCTAATTAATTTTTTTTTCCATAAACTGGACTATTTTATTTCACGATTAAATTTCTCCAAACTTCAAAATTTTTTTTTGAAGTTTTATTTTTCTACTTTTATATATATATATATATATATACATCTATACAATAAACTAGTGTTGTTAAATGGCGCCATTTTTTAAAAATGGCTAACATTTTTGTCAAAATTATCACGTGTAAGCCTGGAGATCTTGCGTATAGAAGGAAGAAAGTAGTATTGTTAAACGGCTAACTTAATATTTTAGCCAGAAAAGTATTTGCCCCTAAGCCTTCGAGATTTCGATAATATATAGACTAGACTTTTGTTCCTTCTATGAGCAAAATCTTCAGAGCTTGCGCAGTAATTTTTCTGGATGAAATATTGAGTTAGCCATTTTTTTTAAAAAATCTGTTCAAAAAGAGCCGTTTTACAACACTACCCGAGATAACTATACGCTTATCTTGCTTATCGATAAAAAAAAAATTAATTAAGAATCACTACTGCAAAATTTTGAAGTCATAAATATTTTAACTTTTTGATCCGGCAGATGTTTGAAAGATCGTTTAAGAAAGGTATATATATAACATTTATTTAAAAAATTTTTTTAAACCTTAACATGGTAGTAATGTTTTGTTAAATGGCACGTTTTGAGCCGATTTTTAAAAACGGCTAACTCAATATTTTAGCCAGAAGAATATTAGGCAAGCCTGAAGATTTTGCTCTTAGAAGGAATAAGGGTCTAGGCATATATCATCTCAATCTCTAGGCTTAGGCAATATTTCTCTGGCCACAATATTGAGTTAGCTGTTTAAAAAACGCGGCTCAAAACGAGCCCTTTAACAACACTACATGGTAGACGCTTATAAAAATAAAAAAAATTTTTTTAAATGAATTTTAATCTATTGTGTTAGGGGAATGTCAAGAAATCAATTTCTTTTTATTATTATTAAATATGAAATTATACAAAAAAAGAAAATATTTTATTTAATTAGACATAATTTTTTTACTTTTTATAATTAAATCATTAAAAAAAATTTTTTTTTTTAAAACTAGTACTATTAGTTTACTTGGAAGTAATCTTTTCCGAATCACTACATTTCTCCCTATAATTAGTATAATAAATTATGTGTTGGAAGGGAGGAGGTCAAAAAAGGGATGCCGTGGATGACGATACAGTTAGATCTGCATATATATATATCAATAGATACACGCTGTCGAAGATAGAAGCCTTCCTATCCACCAGTGATGGCGCGAATATTTTCTTGCCAAGGGGATCTGAAGAAGGTTTTCCGGAAAAACCGGTTAAGTCGGATACAATTGGTTAGGGAAATGTATTTGTTAATTTTAGCCTTTTCCGCTGGCGATCGCTATATTTTGTAATAAATAGAGGCGGCTGCTTCCAAAATCATAAAAATAATAAATAAACAAAAGAATAATAAATTTTAAAGAAAAAAAATAACATAATCTATTTTTTAATGTAAAAATAAAATGGTGTCCAATTTCATTTTTTTCGGTATTTATAAAAATTTAAAATTAGTAAATACAATACTTAATGCTGTTTATTTTTTTTTATAAACTTACTAACCCAAACGATCATAGCCTTTTATATTAATATATTTTTTTAGTGTCAGAATATAATTTTTTGGAAAGCATAAGAGTGTATACAGGAACCTCTGGTACAAAAATAACTTAAAATTCAGAGATTCTGTAGAAAATTTGAGAGGAAATTGGAAAAAGATATAATCTGAATTATGATCTAGTGAAGAAGAAATTTTTAGCCTTGTTAAGGCTATATTTAATAAATTATATTCTCTCACCCAACAAAAATCTGGTAAAAAAATAATTATATTATATTATCTATAAATTTTAATAGGTGCTAGGGCTATTAACATAAAAAGTAAAGTTTGTTGAAGATTATTTATGGTTAAAAGAGAATGTTGATAATATTACCAAATATTCTGAGTCAAGTTTTAAATTGACACAGACAAATGTAAAATATTAAAAGACAAACATATAAAATAGTTTTTTATTTTAGGAAAATCTGAAAATTGCCATGTGGGAATAGTATTATTGTATATAAAATTATATATTTTATTTAATAGGCTGCACAATACCATAATGAAAATTGAAAACCCACTTGATCAAAGTATTGAAATTGTTTCATTTGAGGATAGATACTATAATTTCTGTATTTTATATTCTATTTATTTGATATTTATTATTGAATAATAGCTAGATCAAGATATTGCTAATAAAGAAAATGCAACCCCCATAAATATTAATATAAAATATTCCTATTCCATCTATTAAAATGAGAAAAAAATTAACAATTATTGAATCTGAAAGAACAAAAATATTAAAAGGTATAATAATTTTATACTAAATAATATTAATTATAAAATAATATAGATATTTTAGATTCTCAAACTGGAGAAGATCAACGATAAACACCATATGTGGGGCTTTGTCATATTTAAATCAAACAAATGCAACGTCAATAGAAGATATATTTAAAATTTAAAAAATTATTTAAGTAAAATATTTAAATTTTGTATTGTATTATTAACTCATATATATTATAAATTTATATATAATAAGTAAAAAAATTTTTGATAAGTAACGTAAATCTGTCCAAAATATCTTTATTTTTAATTATTTCATGCATTATTAAATTTCACAAAATGTTGAAGAAAAAAGCACACAATCAACACAACAAAAACCACCTAACTTTGATCATCTCTATTGTGACTCCCTCGACAAATATTGCAGATAGAAATCCTGAAATCCCTATTTCCCAACCTCATAGAATTTTCCATCCTATGTTTATGCTTTTAGCCTAAAAAATTGAATTAAGTTTCTACGCTGAGCTGAGTTAGATTATTTTTGGTTATAAACAGGGCTACGCTGTTTTATAGTGGACTAAAGTTAGGTAGTTTAACAACATTACAAAAACCATTAAAAATATCGTTAAAAAAAATAATTGACAACATCTACTACACGTCCATCCTTCGTAACAATGACATATATAATTTCCTAGACTGACGATTCATTCATTAAATTTGAAGAAAACAAGTTAATTTTTTGTGTTTTAAATAAATTTTATTTTTACTTTTAAAAAATCAAATAATAATAATATGTATAACAATCAACTGGTATATATAATAAAACATTTCAATAGATATTCAAATTAATATTCAATTAACATTAAAATAAATTATTTCAACTGATAACATATTTAAATTAACATGACAATAAATTATGTAAATTGAACACAATTAACATAATTGCATTTTTAAGCGTCGTTAAAAGCAAATCAGCTGGAGCCGCCATTTTGGTAACACATAGTAATTATTCTCATGTTAAAACTATCATTAAATTGATAACTTGCTTCCCTTATTATCTAGATGATCAGGCAATTCTCTAAGTTAGCTTCAGGCATAGTGATAAATTAGGCTCTCGTTTAAAATTAATGATTAGTGTAACCAAAATGGCGTCTCCAGCTGATTTGCATTGATGTAAACTTTTAATGAATGAATTGTCAGTCTAGGTATTATATATGTCATTGTTTCATAAGCACAGATACCATCTAATTATCGTAATTTGATGGCATCGATCATTTCTTTTGTCATTTATAGAATAGTACCGTTTGAATTTTATCGACTTTTAATTCGGTTAATTACACTCCCTTTTGAATTGCAATTTGACATATGAAATGTGAGGAGTTATAATACAGGTATTTTATATGAAATAATTAATATAATATGCTTTACAAGTGTTTCATAATTACATATTACTCGTTTATTGATTTAAACCAACCTTTTACTTTTAATAGGTCACAATACAATAAAGCGAAATTACATATACATACAATCAAAATAATAATGTCTAATAATCCTTTTATAAGCACAACGACAATTTATTTTGTTGTAAATTTAAAACCAAACAACACATGAGGTTTTATGGTATCATTTACAGTGTTGTGATGATTTAATGAAACATATTGACGATTAAATTAAAACCCATCCATATAAAATTATAATCTTTGCAGAAATAATTAAAATAACAAAAGGAATAATGAAAGAAATTTCAATAATGCTTTGTCTATATTTTTTGCAAAATTATAATTTTATATGGATGGGTTTTAATTTAAGTCAATATGTTTCATTAAATTATCACAACACTGTATATATCGTTTCAACTAACATATGTGGTAAATTTTAATATGATACTTTCACATTGGTGATCTTATCAAACTTACAAAAATTAAGTTAAAACTAAAAGGACATATATAAGTAATAATACCACTTCATCAAGTACTATCCTTTTACAAATATTTATCATTCCTGAAATTTTGTACATTGTCCTCTCAATATTTTCACTATTTCTGCAATTAATTTGGTATGTTGGGCTTAAGATTACCCTCATATATTCAATTCTTGAAAAAATTTAACTAATGTTAGCCATATTTTCTTTTAATTAATTCACTAACAATCAATAATTTATATTATCTTCATATTATATGTATGTATATTCTATATTTTATTACCCAAAAAAAAATTGTGTTTAATCACGTATGCTTACTGTTATAAATAGTTTTATTATTTTTTTGTATGAGTCATGAAATATTTTTTTTTGTTTGAAATTTTATTTTTAATATTTTTTTTTTGTTTCGCGCAGTCATCTTGAACGTCATTATATAAATATTTTTAATATTTATTATGTAAAAAAAAAAGTGGAAATTTTTAATTTAACAATTATATTTTTTTATATTTATTGTTTTGAAGAAAAATAAAACCAATTTATTCAAAAAAAAAAAAGGGGTAAAAAAAAATAAATATACTGTTAAGTTAAACATTTCTGTACGGTGAAATTTTGAAATTGGTGCCGTGTTTATACAAAGCAACCTGGTTAGTGCGGTTGTCGTAATATCATATAGTGGTATTTGAGTCTTCGAGTGGAAAATATCATATAGTGGTATTTGAGTCTTGAAGTGAATTGTACATCGTCTTCATCTACATCTACGGTAAAATATCATATAGTGGTATTTGAGTCTTCGAGTGGAAAATATCATATAGTGGTATTTGAGTCTTGAAGTGAATTGTACATCGTCTTCATCTACATCTACGGTAAAATATCATATAGTGGTATTTGAGTCTTCAAGTGGAAAATATCATATAGTGGTATTTGAGTCTTGAAGTGAATTGTACATCGTCTTCATCTACATCTACGGTAAAATATCATATAGTGGTATTTGAGTCTTCGAGTGGAAAATATCATATAGTGGTATTTGAGTCTTGAAGTGAATTGTACATCGTCTTCATCTACATCTACGGTAAAATATCATATAGTGGTATTTGAGTCTTCGAGTGGAAAATATCATATAGTGGTATTTGAGTCTTGAAGTGAAGTGTACATCGTCTTCATCTACATCTACGGTAAAATATCATATAGTGGTATTTGAGTCTTCGAGTGGAAAATATCATATAGTGGTATTTGAGTCTTGAAGTGAAGTGTACATCGTCTTCATCATCGACATCAGCTGTCCATTTATTTTTTTTTCCTTTCTCTGCTCTCTCAAAATAAAAAAAAAGTCTTATCGTACGGAAGTGCTGTCCGAATTTTACGAGTTGTAAATCTGTTACACAAAATTTGCCCAAATTTTTGTCGTATCTTTAGACTTATTAACTGTAGATGTACATGTGTATTATTGGGTTGTTTACACTATTAATAATATCATATCTATTAACATTACAAATAACAAAAATTTTTATTTTGAAATTAATTATAAATTTTTTATAAGGTCGAAATGAAAAGTTTAAAATTTGTAAAATACTGGGAAATACAGTATAATATTTTTGGGGCATTGGTTATATTAGTAATATGGATGTGTAGCTTGATATGGGGAAGAAAGTTGAGAAGAAGTCGAAGTGTGAAAATAAAGGGGCAGACATTGACTATAGAAGGACATAATGGGGAAGAGGATGTTATGGGAAAGGTAACATGGTTCCCAGTGCAGGAGTTGCGAATGCGGTGCCCCCGTGGGCCAAATCGTAGGCAAGACTTAAATGATAATAGGGAAACGACGAGCCACAGAAGCCGAAGCCCGGGAAGGAGCGACGCACGCCCAGTTAGGACCATTTTGCCGCCTTTGAAGATAGAGGCAATGCCGCAACAAGATCCATCCATAACTGCGATGGGGCGACCGGTGGGGATTATTGAGCCGTTTCGAGAAGAAACGCCGGGGGCGAATCCCAGGGCCTATTACGCTGAAGAGTGGCCGATGGTTGATTTGTCGGCCTCTGAGATTCAGGAATTGTTGGAGGATGTAATGGGACCAGAATAAATTTTACAAATTTTGTAATAATAAAACATTTTTTTTTTAAATATCATTTTCCTTAATAGATTTTCGGGAAAAATACGATAAGATATTTTACATCATATATTTTTTTTTATTTATGTTAACATATGTAGAGAATAATAAATAATTACATTTTGATTTTATGTACAAAACTCCCTTGTTTATCTTTGTTAAACAACAATTTTAATTTTTTTTTGTATGTTCAAGGGTTTTCATTTAATGGAGGCGTGTTATAAATAGTTTTATTATTTTTTTGTATGAGTCATGAAATATTTTTTTTGTTTGAAATTTTATTTTTAATATTTTTTTTTTGTTTCGCGCAGTCATCTTGAACGTCATTATATAAATATTTTTAATATTTATTATGTAAAAAAAAAATAAATAATAATTTAATATTTATAAAAAAAATAATCTTATATAAACTAAAAAAAAAAGTGGAAATTTTTAATTTAACAATTATATTTTTTTATATTTATTGTTTTGAAGAAAAATAAAACCAATTTATTCAAAAAAAAATAAATATACTGTTAAGTTAAACATTTCTGTACGGTGAAATTTTGAAACTTACATGATCATTATGACGGATAACAGTCACCCCATTTTCCAGAGTTAATTGGCTTAATTTAATAAGGAGTTGAGATTTTTAAGAAATAAAACATTTAAGAAGTATATATATATTGAGGAACAAAACATTTTACTATTTTGAGGAGCAAAACACTTAAGAAGTATGTAGATTGAGGAACAAAATATTTACTATATTGAAGAGTATATATAGGAGCAAAACACGACTCAAATTTTATTTTTTCAATTTTAAAATTAAACAAATATATATCCATAAGAGGGCGTTAAATGCATTAATATGAAAAACGTCTTATTAGGGGTAACCAGAATGATTATTGGTTAACGTTTTTTTAAAAAAAATATTATTTAGGTGAAAATACATGTGAAAAAACGAATAGATTTCTTTGAATATTTAAATTTATGAGTATATTTAGAATCGTAAAATAATAGGAAATTCGTAGTGTTGTTAAATGGCCCGTTTTGAGCAGATTTTTAAAATCGGCTACAGAACAATATCACGCAAGCCTGAAGATTTTGTCTGTAGAAGGAACAAAGGTTTGGATATCTATTAGCGAAACCTCGAGGTTTAGGCAATAATTTTTTTATGGCTAAAATATTGAGTTAGCCGTTCAACAACACTAAATATTTGTAAGGCACATATTGCTGGCGTTATTGATCAAAAATCATTTCATTTTTGTTTTTATACGAATATGTATATTTACGTGTTAAGCATTATCCTAAAAAAATTTTTTTGAAAATATTAGACCGTAAGCCGAGCTCAAAACCGACCACTCACTAAATATTCGATTGACCAAATTCGCTAGTTAATATCAATTGAAAAAATGTTCATTTTTTTTATTTTATATATCTTATAAACATGTGAAAACATTATCCCAAAAAATATTTTAAAAATATTGTGATTTGACGGATAACCGATTTGAAACCGAATACTGCATTGCTGGCGTTATCCGTGGAAAATTCCGTACCGACAAAACTATCTGTCTCATCGTTAACTATTTTTAGATAAAAAACTGGTTGTTATTTATAAGTATTTTAAACTGAAAGTCTGTTTTTTTGAATGTTATAAATATATTTGTCAGCTGGTCTAAAGTTTATTTAAATTTTATCGAAAATGTATGAGCCAGAATCCTGGATCGGGGCTTTTTTTTCGGGTACGATCAAAATAATAGAACCGCCTTCAGTCGAAAATTTATATTTAGAAATAGGCCCATTGAAGATGGAGGTAGTGCCTCAGATATAAACATGGGAAGGAGACAAATGACTAACTATATAACTATTTTTTAAAATAAAAAATAATTATTAAGTAAAATTACTTATTTATATAGTAATAAGTTACTACTGGAATGATGCATAACCAGTTACTTTTAAAAAAATAACTTTTAGCCACACTAATCGTTACCCTCAAAGTAATTTTAAAAATGTATCATTCTAATCACTCATTGACCGCTCTATAATTCTCCTTTTTTTAAGAGGGCGAAATTCAAGATGTTAGAAACCAAATGGAATATAATTTATTTGTCAGTGAGTGGCCTAAATCCATCCAGGTACTTGAGTTGCCGAAGAAACCAATTCATTAATCCTAAAAGTGATACTGGGGGGGGGTCAAATGATGTATCAACGCCACATTCAAGAACTAGTGTAGTGCGTTTTTTTTGATAGTAAAAATAATATAAAACTAACTCTAAATTTTTAAATCAGCTGATAACTCTATCTCTCCGATTGAAGATGCTGTTCATGGGTTTCTCATTTATTCTAAAGTTACATCACCAGAAGTTTAGAAGCCCTGACTAAAAAAAGGGTGTTTCTGGTCCTTAGATTTCGCGAGGTTTTGAGGGTCCGGGATTCTGGTTCCTAATTGTGTCAAAGCGAATCAATGATAAAAACAGGTTCCGAAAATGTATACCATGAATTTTAAAATGACACCTGTTTCCGGTTTCCTAATTATTTTAAAAAGTTTCAAGGTTCGCGTTTCTGTGAATCTCAAAATGGCTACTGATTCTGCTTTCCTAATCATTTTTAAATAAGGTTTTAGGTTCCGGAAAACCAATTTCTGTGAATTAGGGTTTCTAATTCCAGTTCCTCATTTTAAAAGAAAGTTCTACAGGTTTCAATGAATCTTAAAATGGCTTCGAGTTCGGTTTCCTAATCATTTTAAAAGAAGGTTATTCGGTTTCAGAGAATTTTAAAATGGCCACTGGCTACTGTTTCTATATTTGTTTCTAATTCTGAACTCTGATATATATATATATATATATCGATTAGTGCACTACTTTCAAATAAAAAGTTTCTAACAGTTGTTTATTTTTTAAAAAAAATGCTATTTAACATTCGAGTGCCACGTGTCACGAACAAATAGTTATATATATACACATATATATAAAATGCAAATTTCTCCAAAAATATAAAATTAATAAATATTTTCTCTTTTAAAAAAACATAAACATATTATAATATAATAAATTCGACGCAAACTAATAAGTGGGTCGATATTTCGATATACAAAAAATAAATGCGTGTGTATAATTTAATTGGTCCAAAAATTTCCCCTATTTCTATTGGATGCCCCTGCTCATCTGCAATTTCTGTTAAGTTCTCTCCTAATCTACCGAAGTCTAGTAGTATAGTTTGTCATATACGAAAATCTAACAAATTAAAATGATTATTTTTCTTGTATTCCAAAAAAAATTTCCCAAGGAATATTGGTCTCTTTAAGATTTATTATAAAAAAAATTTTTTTTTCCGTTATAATAATATATGAATTGTTTTTTATTTAGTAGTAATTTTAATGCATCATTTATAATAATTTATAAAATATGGAATTAAATGTTTCTTTTAAAAAATGATTTTAAATATATATAAAATTATACATGATATAAAAAAAAATAGCCTGAAATACATTAGCCCAACTTATATTTTAATATATTTTAATGTAATTTTTTTTAAAAAAATAAAATATTATATAAAAAAATTATCCTACTTTTCACGAAAATAATTATTTATATACATACTTAAAAGAAAGTATTTGTTTGATTTCCCATGGATAATATCGAATTAATACAAAAAAAGAAATACGTGGCAATTAAGAGATTCATTAATAACCTTTCTCCTTCCCTGTTATCCTACCAGCTTACGATTAGATCATTATATTAAAAAAACGCATTAAATTCAGGGAACTTATAAAATAAATCATTATTGAGTATAAACTTAAAATGTCTTCAGGGTATAAGAGATGAGGCCCACTGTCCCTGGGAAAATATACATATATGCATTTTAAAAGCAATGATAAAGTAGTCACGTGGGTTGCTAAGCCAGGAAAATTTGCTAAGGAGAGGATTTAAAGAAATTTTTTTTAAAAAATGATGAATATATAAAATAATTTTTTCTTAGGAGACAGATCGATATCTGAGACATGAGAACAAAAAAAACATGGGGATTTAAAAGAGGAGAAAAAGGTTTATGATAAATAAGTTCTGACGGTTCCCCTGATGTCTTCCCTGCAGATAGGACACGTGTTCAACATCAAAGCGCACCTGGAACAGGAAGCAAAATGGCCGCAGTTGATGAAAACGACCTCGACCTCGTTCTCCAGGCATATTTTGCAAAATCTTTGTTCCTTGAGGAGCTTGTTCTCGCTTTCCAGCCTTTGCAATTTATCTTTCAATTTCGTTTTGAGAGAGAGGGGGGGGAGAGAAAAATGAAAGAAAAGTTAGTTTTATTTATTTAAAATCGTTATAAACCGGCAACAAATTATTAAGTTAATGTAGATCGGTTACGATACTTATGTCGGAACCGGGTAAAAACCGGTAGTATCTGTAAGAGCTCGAATAAGTTCGGTTCGGATCGAGTATCCGGTTAATGCATTTTCCTTTGCATATATTCTCCATTTTTAGTAATTGATCGGCTGAGCATAACAGTGTCCCTATTTACATTTTATTTTAAAATTATTCACGAGAGCATTCCAAAACTTACATTTTGTAAAGGAGAAAGGAGATCACACAAAGGAGGATTTAATTTATCAACCATATTTTAACATCTCTTTAGGTTGGGTATATAAGAATAAAGTATTGCGAAGAATTCGATCTTAAAAGGTGCATATAGAACATTATAATACTCGGTCGACGAATTATAAAATCGACCCTTTCGTGATTTTGATGAATGGTTTAAAACTTTGTAAAAAAAGTGTTGAGTTTTTCTAGCTATCACAAATTAAATATTGTTTGTCAAACTGCGAAACCTCGAAAGTGTGGTGACATTTTGTACATTTACCAAAAAATAATAATGATTCAGGGAGAGAGAGACCCAAAATTATAATAATTTTTGTTATTTCTTTATTATTGTTGTTGTTGATAATAAATTGCGACATCTGATTTTGAAGCCCCCCCCCCAAAAAAAAAAATAGATAGGGGCAGCCATATTTCTTTAGCAGGAAAGGGCTATAGACTATGGGTTTATTAGCCTGGGTAGCGAAAAACGAAAATGCTAAATTAAGTAACCGATATTAATTCTATTGAGTTTATCCCATAATTTTTAATTTTTATTTCAGTTAATGTTTTTTAAAAAAAAAAAAAAATTATATACATAACGTGCCTATATTTTTTTTTATAATTTGAATATTTTTTTCTCATATGAACTTTATTTTTAAGTTTTTCTTCAAATTAGTCTTGTTAAACGGCTCGTTTTAAGCCGATTTTTAAAATTGGCTAACTCAATATTCCATTTATATTATGCAATCCTGAAGATTTTGCTCATAGAAGCAAGCAACAAAGATTCTAGGACATATATTAACATAATCTCGAGGCTTAGGCAAAATTTTTCCGACTAAAATATTGAGTTAGCCACACTACTCTAAATAATAGATTCAAATATATAAAAAACAAAATGTTTTAAAATTTAATGTGGTTTAAAAATATAAAATAAGATAAATGCTTACTTACTAAGTAGCTTTCATATATTATAAAAAATAATTTTTATAGCTTTATGCATCAAAAAGATATGAATTTATAGAGTTGTTATGTTAAACGGCTAAATTTGAGCCGATTTTTAAAAACGGCCATCGCAATATTTTATCCAGAAAAATATTATGCAAAGCCTAAAGATCTTTGCACATAGGATTGAACATCTATTGGGGAAATCTAGCTGGCAATATTTTCCTAGCTATAATGTTGAGTTAGCCGTTTAACAACACTACGATATAAAAACAAAATAAATAAAGTACAAACATAAATGATAACACTTATGAGGAATCATATCTTTGCTATTTTTTTTATACATAATAGTTATCATTTTCATCATGGTATGTAAGTGTTGTTAGAGAGCCCCGATTCGGGCCAACATAAAATAACATTTTTGCGAGACTAAAGATCTGGCTCATAGCGGGCAGATGCTTGGACATCGCCATCTCTTTGTTTAGTTTAAAAAAAATCCTAATCGGGCCGTTTAGAAAAACCGAGCCAAAACCGGGCTTTTTAACGACACTAATGGTGTCGGGTATTGGGTGGCCAATAATTTATTATACTCTAGTAACATAATTTGCTATTCCTGTTAGATTTGGTATCAGTGTTGTTAAACGGCTCTCGTCTTGAGCCAATTTTTTCTAAAAAAAAGGGCTAAACTTAATATTTCATCTAGAAAAATATTACGCGAGCTTGAAGATTTTAGAAAGGAACAAATGTTTCTAACATAATATTATCGAAATCTCGAGGCCTTAGACAATATTTTTCTGGCTAAAAAATATCGAGTTACAACACTAATTGGTTTATTTACGAATAGTAAAAAAATATTCGATTCGGTTAAATGAATTTGCAGGTATCCGCCGATCCCCTGTTTGTATTGGTTAATAATTCGATCCACGTTAGGATAGGTAAAGTCTCGGATATCAGCCGATTCTCTGATTGGTTAAAAAAAACGATTGCATTAATTGGAAGAAGAATTTTTTTTAAAAAAAATGTAGGATACGAGGTCTTGTACGAGAGCCATAATATGAAATTTTTAAATCTGGGGGGTATATTGGACCCTTCCATTTTTAGTTGGGTTCGAGTTCAGAAAAACTTGTCACAGCGAGCATGTGTTGTATTACATTAAAGTGTCGCGACATTTAGCGATAATATCATAAAATTCCAAGTGGTTCAACCTGAAGATATAAGAAAATAGGTTAAACTTGATTTAGGGGTATTGTCCAAGATGATCTGCGCGTCGGAGGCAAAATTCAAAGAATCTGGAGTCTGCGTAGGGGTTAACGTGATGGTGGAATTCTGGGAGGAAGGATTTGTATCGAACGCACTGCTGTTTTTCTGTTCCGAATGATGGGTATGGGACAATTTTAAAAAAAATTTAATATAAGTCAAAAAAAAATCTGCGTCAGCTTTAGACATTTATATCTTAAGATATTATTGCTTGACAAACTCAAGCCGACATTTTTTTTTAAAAAAACTTTCGTTCCACTGGGAGAAAAAGTATTCGATGACGTACATTGCGTGGAACGTCTAAACCGATGAAATTAATAACTAACCGCATTCATTTAAAAAAAATAAATAAGGGTCATTTTAGATGGGAAACATTTCGGCGAAATCCCTTTCAATGGCGTCTACCATAGCCAACGATATAGACTACAGCTGACTTGAATGGGAGTACATTTTTGATAGCAGGGTTTCCCATCCAAAAAGAAAGGTAAGGAAAAAGTCAGATCAAAAAAGAAAACCAACGAGAAAAGTAGATTCAATTCAAAAAATGAATAATTTCCTTAAAAAAATCGAATCCTGTAAATGTCATCACTGTCACTATTAAACAATTTTCGAAATGTCAAATTCGACGATTTTGCCGCTGTATAAGAGATATCAGAGCTGATGGTTTTTTTATTTCCCTCCTTTGTTACTTGGTTACTCATCACTCCCTTTGTCAGAGACCTCAACACTGTCCTAAGCCAATGAAGAATCACCGACTTCTTACCACTCTCCTATATCAATGTTAGCAAAAAAATAAATCTAAATTAATATTTGGTTACCCAACCGTCATGCACCTCTAGACTCCCCTAAGCTAATAAAGGTTTACACTTACGCTCTTACCAAATCAAAATTGGCAAATTTATTTTAAATTAATTAATTCTCTTTTTTATTTGAAAAAATTAGGATTATGAATTATGTTATATCTTAATATCTTATATATTTTAAAAGGTTATAATTTGAAATATTATATTTGTAATACAATATTATAACTTTCCTACATTTCATATTATATTATCGAGGTTAATCAAATTGCATACTATTAGAAGTTAAATTTGATAATTATATAAAAATATATTCAAAAGAATTAAAATGAAATCATTATTGTTGCTAAACCATAATCGATATAATAAATTAGACCTTTTAAAAAAATAATCCTATCGGGGAAGTTATGTAATAATGTTTGAATAGTTTTTTGGGTTTTTGAAAAATTATTCAAAAAAAAAGAAGATGGCGTTTGTTTTGTACCTTGGAGATGGCTTTGAGAAGGGCCTCCGACGATTCAAAAGTAATCCCATTTTTGTAATAAGAGTAGATGGCGTTAAATATCGTGTCTTTGGGGACCCCTATGGCGAGGATGGACTTGACCATCGGTTTGTTCATCTCGTTGTCGATATTAGATTGAAGGTTAGTATTTGGAACTGCGAAAAAATGGGTAGTAATTTTAAATTATATACATTATATTATATATGCTAGAATTAAAATTCAGGGCTAATTTATTGGGGAACATAAATCATATTAAATTTTTGAAAGTAATATGACCAATATAAAATATGTCGTATTGGGATCAATAATGTATCTATAAATACTAATAGACTGACGATTCATCCAATAAATGCATTTAAAACCATACATAAGGAGTAAGCTGTAACGCCATTTTGTGGTTTGCACGCCATTAAATAGGAATCTATAAAGGAAACATAAAGAGGGTTTTCAGTATCATTCATCAAAGCATAGTTAGTACTGGTTGGTCATGGCTACAATACCCCCTCATCATATCAATGTTAAAGAACTGGTGGCCATTTCCGCAATTCTTCAAGAACCCGAAGGGGGAGAGGGGTCCCCAAGATATGCACCAATACTATGGTAGCCCTCATAATCATAAGCAAATGAAGTTCCAGAGCCAAGAGTGCGAAGTTATCGTCTCCGGCCTAATGAGATAGATGGACTTCATGGATTTCGTCACCCTAGCCCGCCATATCACATGGGGTTCTCACAGCAAATAACCCTGCAAAGTACCTAAGAGAAATTGGATTAGAATGGACCAACGTTTCACTTTCCGGGTTGCAACTAAACTGGACTCCTTTACATCAATCATATAGGCGAATCACTAGCACACACACCTCGACCCCATACACATCAAAGACCTTCAATGGCCGGGTATGGGCCTCGGATCAGCCCGGCTAATGAAGGTCTATGATGTAAATAAAGACAATTAATCGGTGTGCAAACCACAAAATGGTGCTACAGTTGACTCATATGTATGCACTGTTTTAATTAATGAATAACCAATCTAGTAGTTTATCTATACATCATTTAAGATTTGCCTGGGAATTTATTCTAGATATGAATAGGGAAGTGTTGTTAAAGTAATTAGTAACTGTTAACTTGTTAAGTTTCAACAGTAACTTTTAAAAACACTAGAATAGAGTACTCCCACCTAACCATGAATTTAAGACTATTTTTTCCCGTAAACTTTCCTACTTCCAATTATTATTTTTTTTCGTAAAAATTTGGAAAGAAAAATAAAATGCTACACAGGGTTTATAATGGCAAAATGGTTATCAATTTTCTAATCGAATGGTATATAAGTCTTCAAATTCTATTTAAAAGAAAAATAGGCCCTTTAAATTAAGGATTTCGATAAAAAAAATTGAAAGACCCCCAGCTCACCATACTAGATGATACCCGAAAAAAACCCCCAAATTAGAACACGTCATAAAAATCAATTAGGTATTTGATAAAAACACTATAGGGCGTGGCCCTAGTTGTACTCGTTACTAGTGTTGTAAAACGACTCCTTTTGAGCCAGAAAAAAAAATTCTCTAATAAGCCTCAGATATTTCGAATATTATGTCTAGGTCTTTGTTCCCTTCTATGGAGCAAAATCTTCAGGCTTGAGTAAATATTATTTTTTTTCTGAATGAGAGTTTGCCGTTTAGCAACACTAATCGTTACTGAATAGCCTAAATATTAAGTAGGAGAAAAAAAAATGGCTACAATACATTTTTAAAAACAAATCAAAAATAAGGGTACTGTTAGTTAAAAAGCTAAGGTCTTAACAGGGGCACACGCATAATAAATTTTTATAAAATATATATATATAGAATTGTTCTCACCAGCATTAGAAGCTTGTTTGTTCGCAGCAGTTTTTTCATCCTCTTCAACAATATTGTGTTCCTTTTTTTTGTGGAAAAAAAAAAATTTTATAACCCTGTTTCCTGTTTACATATTTAAATATATATGTTATTATTCTTTTAATAAATTTAGCTATTTTTCCCATATTGCGTTTTCCTCTACCCCTTATCTCACTTATATTTAAGTTCCCGCAAAAATTTTCTATAGTTCTAGGGAATTTTTTTGAGGAGGGAAAAAAAATAATACACCTTTTAGAGATCAGTTTTAAAAAAAAATCAAATAAAAACTTATTAAGCCTAGATTTTTATGAAAAATTAATAAGTAATTATATTGTATTACTTAACATATTTTTCTGGTGCAAATAAATGCATTTTTTTTAATGCAATTATTTCCTTTATTATAAATTATATTTCATTTAAATTCCTTCAATCATGATTTATAAATAGAAAAATTATTTTGTATGAAAAAAAAATATTATGTTTAAAATGCTGATTTATATTTTTAAAAAAAATAAATAATATAGCAACTTGTAATGTAACTGGTTACTTTTAAAAGGTAATTGTAACTGATTTTAAAAAAACTAATAATTAATTACTTTTTAAGGATGTAATAATTACTTTTAAAAGTAACTTTTAACATCATATATATATATATTTTTTAAAATGTAGTATAAAAAATAAATATAATAAATTCAAAAACAAGCAAAAAATAAATAAATAATTTTTTAAAAAAATTATCTACAAATCTATGCGTAAAAACTAACAACATTATTAACAATTATTTTCTATTTCAAAAGGACATAGAAAGACTGCCAAGTGCCAAAGGCTGTACAAATATTAAACAGATTGGGGCATATATTTACAGGTTAAAAATAGGATTGGGCTAATATTTTCAAAATTATTTAACTTATACAATCATTTCTTTTTCTCCATTTAATAACGATTTTCCAGGTTTACCCAGGTTAGCCAGTTTCCCCTCTGATATTTCTTCTCCATTTTTGACGGTCCTGAGCATCAATATTAGTAAGAATTGATTTTCCTCATATCCACCACTATCACCTTTATCCATGTCAGCATTCCTTGATGTCTAGATTCTTCTACTTCCATCAAGGTGCATCTCTTAACCCAGTCATCATCCTTTGTCTTACGCCCCACATGCCCCAAACCAACTTAGAGTATTATTTCTCATTACCCCTCCAATCACTTCTATTCTCATATTGATACTTGCTCACAATTCCTTGCTAGTTTCTCTCTCTCTCAGATATACCCCACACATCCATCTAATCACCCTCGTCTCTGTTCTTTCCAATTTGGCTTCGTGAGCCACTTTCATTGCTCATGTTTCACTGCCATAAACTTAGCAACTTCTCACACAACTTTTATGTAGACTTTCTCCTCTAACTTCAGACATTTTCAATTGTTAGACAGAATCTCTGAACTTTTTCTATGCTTGCCTGACCTATGTAATAACCTCAGGGATTGCCACCTGTGTTTAGCATATCACCCAAATAGCAAAACTTTTCCACTTTTCCCAGGGTTAACCCATTGCCAATATCAAACCATCATTTTCTACGTTATCATTATTATGTAACCCTTTTATCCATGTTTTACAAATAAGTCATTTCTCTATTCCCGTTACATCTTTTATGCACCCATGTCATCTGGTGCGATTGAATTCTCAGCAACTCCTTTCCCACATATATCACAAGGCCAGTAGTCTGATTCCTCCATCTTCATTTTCCAACCCTTTGCCTCCATAGCCATCTTCCATCTAGTAATTTTATCCCTCGATTCCTTATAGCTGTTTGCCATTAATACAAGGTCATCTGCATATAATAGCTCCCATGGAAGTTCTTCACTGAGCTAAATCCTACTTCTTTTAAATATACACCCAGCCAGGTCCCATCAGAACTGTATAAAAATATAGATAAATTTATTTGTTATCTTCAATATAATTAATAGACCTTTAAAAATATTTTAAAATAATATTGGGAAGGAGGCCAGAAGAACTTGTATTTTTTGAATGTAATGAAGCAGAACTGGCTTTATAATAAAAATATTCCTTTTTTCCAGATAATTTTGTGTATTTCATAAGTTCAAAGTAAAAAAATATATTCAAATAAAATAAAGAACGCAAACAAACATACCAAATAATTTATAAAAAAGATTGGGTAGTCAGGTTAAACAAAAGTTAAGATAAATAGATAGGCAGGTTAGGTAAAATTTTTATTCAAAATAGGTTTTAAAAAATATTTTAAACAAAGTGCTAGCATATTAAAATTTGCTTATTGTAGACTAACTAGTACCAATACTTCATTTCTAGTAAATACCTATATTAACAAAGAATTGACCAATAGAACCAATACCAAAAATGATTTTTTTAATTTTATTTATTTAAACTAAAAAACCAAAAATATATTTCATATATTATGCTAAATTAATTTATAAAATTAAATTTTGAAAAAGAAATTCAAATTTGTTATTTAGTAATTGTAATTTTCATGTGATTCTTTAAAAAAAATCTAGAAGTTAATGTTGTCTAAACTGTTTTTTTTAATTTATGAAGATCAATTTAAATTAGTAGAGTTGTTAAAAGATACTTTTTAAATGGAACTAGATACAGATACATCGTTTAAAATAATATCTAGGTACCGATATTTTATTCAAAAATCTATCTAGATACAGATACCACATTTTTATATCTAGATCCTTTAACAACTCTGAAAATTAGTGTTTTTAAAGGCTCAATTTAAAAATTAATACTAATCCAAAAAATATTATGCAAGACTGGAGATTTTGCTTTTAGATGGCAGAAAAATTTGGACATCTAATAACAAAATCTTGAGGTTTGTTGTTAACATTATTTGAGCTAAATCTTAATCTAAAATTAGACTTGAGCCATTTAGCAACATCGATTATCATTTTTGGGTATAGATCACATGTATTGGTTAAAATTTAAATCAGCCAATACTAGCCCTAGTAACAATATTTTTTTGCTAGTACATTTGTTAATTAAATAATCTATATAATCTAAGGGATACATCCATTCCATCTTTGGTATATCTGTTTTTTGTTATAAAAAAGGGATATATTTTTTTTACAAAATTTGAATAAAAATAATATTAAAAATTTAGATATAATTTTTGCATTCTTATGAGTTTTTATTGAATATATATATATAATTTATGTCACTATATTTTATAATGTATATATTGTTTTATTTTGTATTAAAATGATTGAACAAAACCCAGTGAACATATTTTTTAGATCTGCCTATATCTGAACCCTGCTTAAGATCAAAAAAGGCTTAATCCTATACTTTATATACTAAATAATCAAATACTATTCATCAATTTGAATAATATTGTTAATTAAATTATTACTTTTGTATTTTCTGCTTTGTTGATATAATTGATATTGACATCTTGTACAAACTTTTCACCCTTAACAATTTCTATAAAAGGACACTTCGAAAACCATTTGGCATGTTCAATCCAGGGGTCATGATCAATTTTCCAATTTCTAAGGCCCCCATCACAATAAAAGCATTTAACATAATCTTGATAACCTATGAATTGCAATGATTAAAGGAGTTTTATATATATATATTATAATAATACCCAAATAATAAAAACCAGCATCTGCCATTTTGGAAGGTTCCAAGGATGAACTTAAAGGCCAACAAGCAAATGTTTCAAAACGAGAGTCATAAGATGTAAAAAACAAATTTTTAACCTGACTAAGTTTCAAAATCTCACTTTGATCTTTTATGGGTTGTATTGTGCAATTGATATTACTAAAATTTTATAACATTACAATATTGTATTTATCTATCTACTTAGTAATTGATTCATTAATAAAGTTGTGCCCGTCATCAGGGTTCAAAAAGGCATTACAATTGTACATAGGATTTGGTTCATCCTCTAAATCTAAAATAAAAGGACAATGAGGAAAATGTCTTCGATGCTCTTCCAAAGGTACATCTCCAGGTTCCCACCTTCCTAATACACCCTTGCAAAATGGACATTGAACAGTATCCTGTCCATTATAGAAAAATCCTGCTTTGGCCATTAGATCTGCTTTGATATAAATATTGGTGCATTTCTGGAAGCTTAACATCCTGTCGCTTTCATTCCTCATTCTACCAAGAATAGATTCTGCACAATTCAATGGAAGATCTTCCATATAGATTTAAAAGGGTTCGATGGGTTGCCTATATCGATCTCCTAGTGGCTATAAATAAATAAAATTTATCATTGTTAACGTTTATTTGAAATAAGGTGTAAACAATAAAATAATTATTTATTTTTAAATGAATGCGAGACTCAGGAAGCATTCTGGTCTACGTTTAACGAGTAATGATATATATATATACCTTAAAAGATGAAATAGGAAGAGAATATAACTAAGCGTCAATATAAGTATGAGCTTGTAATATTTCTTAAACAGTCTCAAATAATATTATTTTACTTTTTACTAGGTTTAACAAATTTAATATAAAGATTTTTACATTAAAAAAAAATAATACATTGCTCTTTTTAACTAGTTGCATTCTATGATTTATAAATTAAACTCAAGGTAATTTTAAAAGAATTTTATATTGATATGCCGATAAGATAATTAATATGTCTATAATAAAAGTATTAAATAAATTACAGCTATATATTTTGCCCTATGTATTCTAAAATTTTAATTTTCTACCCCCTAATAATCCTCAGCCCATCTTCTGCCCTCTAAACACCCTCACTTTACCCCGTTTATGTAGACGATGATTCAAAGAGAACATATTCATAATATTATCAATAAATTGATTTTATCCTCTTAGTATTTTTCCTGATGATTTAAGACGCATTACATTATTATTAATTAACTACACTGAAATCTCACCCCAGAGTTGTACCAAAAATCTTCAAAGAAGATTAATTAGCAAGATCCTTGAAGATCGTAAAATTTGAAGTTTTTTTTTATTTTAAAAAAATTCCACGCAACTATCTTGAAAGATCTAGATCTTGAAGATTTTTTATTTATAAATATTTTTGATCAACGATCTTAAAAGATCTTCATATAATAAGTTGTTATAGTTTATTATTTCTATAATATTTGTTTTAAAATAAATGGATTAGTATTGTTTAATGGCTCATTTTAAGCCGATTTTTAAAAACAGCTAACTCAATATTTTAGCCAAAAAAATATTATGCTAGCTATAAAATTTTGCTCATAGGTTGCACAAAAGTTTGAACATCTTTTAACTAAATCTAGAGGTTTAGACAATATTTTTCTGGCTAAAATATTAAGTTAGCCGTTTTTAAAAATCGGCTTAAATCGAGCCGTTTAACAATACTAGTAATATTAAATTAAATAAAAAAATCAATATACAATCGTTATTTTTTAAACTTTTTTGACACACATGGGTAAAAAAATTTTTATTAAAAAAAATGTTAAATTAAAATTTCAATGAAAATGTTGTAACAGAGAAAAATGACATTTGTCATGACATTATTTTTTTAAACTTTTTTTGAATTATCTTGACGCAAATGGTTAAAAACTTATATCGTAAATATGTTAAATTAAAATTTCAATAAAGATGTATGTACCATAGAAAAGTGGCAATAATCGTTATTTTTGATTTTTTTTTTTGAATTTTCTTCACATGGCCTCGCCATAGAATTGGAGTACTCCACTCGACATTTTCAAAATTTTTGAGTTGAAGTGGATAATAACTTATTTATTCACATATAAAAACAAAAACTAGATAAAAATTAATTTTTTTCAAAGTTATCGTCATAATTGATCAATAACTTTTTTCTATATTTTATTTTAAACTTTAATGTTGATTTTCTCATTTTAAACATTTGCGCAAGTGGAGCACTCCAATTCTAGACCGACAATGGTAAATTAAAATTTAAATAAAAAAATGATGTGCCATAGAAAAGTGGCAATTGTCATAATCGTTCAACAAATATTATAAATAAATCTATATATTTTAAACATGTTAATTGATGATTTATCCTTATAGATTTTAATGATAATCAAGGCTCAAATATAGGTTGTGATGTTAAATAAATTTAAGTGTAGTTTATAAAATAGGAATCAAACTCACTAACTAAAAGCAAGAAGTTTATACTTTACTTGTATTCATTATAGAAAAATTACATATTTTTATGATTTTGTCATTTACATTTTATACATATTTAATTCAATCACAATGCACATTTTATTTTACAAGGAAGTCATGAATGGATAAATGATATCAATAATCTATTAGGAAGTTAACCAACAATTATATTAATCGTAAATATATATATAATCATATTCAAATGACGAATATAACACATAATATGTAAAAAGAATATTACAATAAATTACTCCTTTACCACACATATTGCATCTTTTTTAGGGAGAGAAAGGGGAGGGAAGCTAAGGACAAATCTTTTGTTATCTAATTATAATACTTACGAAAACAAGCAAAATTGATAAGATATGGGGTGCTGCTTGCCCCTTTTGATTATGTTACCATTAAGAATGTATTTAAAGGAACTTGTAACTTTTTTCAATGATTCATTTCTATTTTTAAAAATATGGTTCAACGACTAAGCCGAGCCACATATCCCCAAACTTAATCATGTCTTTAGTTTAAAAAAATAGACTTGGACTAAAGCCAGAATTTGGTTGAATCTGCTTAAGAATTCATTCGAATATAATTATAGATCTTAGGTTATTTATTTGCAATTTGGATATTTTAAGACCATAATAATATATATTCTCTCATTGCTCGGGTGGCACTATGTAGATCTTGGTCCTCTTAAAACTTTATTACTAAAAATTCTTTCGATATTTTTACCTGAATCTTTTGGGTAGCTTACCATTTTTAGGTAAAGTATATGTGTGCAAAATTAATTTTGATTTTTTTTAATAGTTCAAGAGTTTTGAAGTTTTTTTGGAGCTTAGGGTCACACACCGTTTCAACTGTTTGACCGTTTTTTTCATCTGTTTTTGGCATTGATTATATTTTATTACATAATTTTTATTAATTAAAAAATATTTTTTATTAATAGAATGAACCTTAGATTATACGTATCAAAGCTGTCATAAAATTATTAAAATAACAATTAAAATCATAAAAATAATAATTAAAATAACAAAAATCATTAAAATAACAATTAAAATCATTAAAATAACAATTAAAATCATTAAAATAACAATTAAAATCATTAAAATAATAATTAAAATCATTGAATTAAATAATTGAAATAACAATTAAAAATCATTAAAAAAACAATTAAAAATCATACTTATATTCAATATATCTTTTAAAATATGATAGCTTACAAAATTATTTTATTTCAATTATATAGTGTTTCTAAAATTGGGGTCTGAAGGTACTCCACCTATTTTCTCGCGTGATTTTCTTCCCACCCGTTCAATGATGGGATTTTAGTGCACAAATGCCATTTTTATATAATAATAATTAAATTAATATTTTTTAAAAAATTATAAATATATATATATATATAATTACATAAATAGACATAATTAAAATAATTATCTTATTCTTTAGATTTCCGGGTAGGGAAAGGGAAAAATAAAACAGAAATCTCCAAAATTTATATTAAAATAAAACTAAAAAAAAAGGATCTTCTTTCTTTCTTTCTTTCTTTCTTTCTTTCTTTCTTTCTTTCTTTCTTTCTTTCTTTCTTTCTTTCTTTCTTTCTTTCTTTCTTTCTTTCTTTCTTTCTTTCTTTCTTTCTTTCTTTCTTTCTTTCTTTCTTTCTTTCATAGCCAAATTTATTTTGTAAAAAATGAATTGATCTAAAAAGTTTTTATATTTCTTTTTTGCCTACAAGAGGGAACTAATTGAACGTTTCAAATGGAACGTTTCAAAACGCAAATAAAAAATAGGCTTAAACGCAGCAATTTTCAAATTGAAGCGTTAATTTTTTTAAAAAACAATATGAAACGTCTTAAAAAATGCTGTCCAATTTAAATGAATGCATTTAAAATGCGTTATTTGCGTTTTTGAAAAAAATCAACACCCTTTCCCGCCATCTTAAATTTTTTCAATTCATTTTAAAAAAAATTTAAAAGGCCCGTTTTATAAGATTATAATTTATAAATAAAATAAGGTTATGCAAAAGCCTTAAAGATTTTGCTCATAGCAGGTAGGAAATGCTTGGAACATCTATTTACCCAAACTTCGATGACTTACATTATATTATTTTAGCTAAAAAAATCTTGATCTGACAATTCTGAAAAATCGACCCCAAATTCAGGGTTTTTAACAACGTTAACCAAAACCTATAGTTCACAAATGTCAGTTCGGTCGTTGGCAATAGTTGATGAATGTATAGTGTAAGTCGGAGTGTTATACCAATAACGTTAAGAGAAGTGATTATGGCCATGATTCATGCTGGAGACATCAAGGAATAGAATGAAACCGTTTATATATACTTTTTATAACAACCACCAAATTGTTTTATATATATTTTTTTTTAAAAATGATTTAAAAAAAATAATTTAAATACATTATATATATAAGCGCATTTTTATAACTTAATATTTAAAAAAAAACATATTTTTTAAATCCTTAATATTTGCAAAGCTAATTTTGAAAGTTCAGATGAAAGTTTAAGGAGCAAATCATTGTATAGTTTAATTTTTTTTTAAGAATGAACAAGTAATTAGTATTTTCCTTATGGATAAATCAGAAATAAGCCTATACAAGGTGGCGAATCAGAAATTTACCTTATTTTGATGATGAGAGTTGATTTCCAAAATTTTTATTATTCTTATAATATATGAAGTGAAGTGCATATACATATATATATATATCAGTGACCTACCATTTATTCGGCCCGGCCTGGTCCGTTTTTTTTTCAAAAATTTTTATCGGCCCGGCCCGGGTTTGTTTTTTTAAAAACAAAATTCAGGCCCGGTCCGGTTATTTCTAAAAAATAATATTTTATTTATTTTAGATTTTTACAGCTATGAATGCCGATTTCAAATATTTGGTTTTAAATTATACGGCCCGGCCCGGCCCGGCCCGGATAGATACAAAATATAAAAAAATTGGCCTGATCCGTCTAGCTGCATTCTATATGAACAAATAAATATGTTGAACAACATTCTCAGTTATCATCAGTCACTTTGAGTATTAAAATAAAAAAAATTGTGAAAATTCCAAAGAATTTTAAAATGATATTCTTATATTTTTTTTTTAGAAAATAAAAATTTTTTTTTTTAATTCATTGCTAATTTAGCATGGTGCTATGGCAAAAAAAACTCACCGTAATTGTTTTTTGACTATAATGGTGAATT